TCGGCCATTTTTTGTGCCTCTTGAAACAAGACTGAAAACTCTTCATCAACTTTTTCTCTTAGTGACTTCAGACTTTGAACTACAAAGTCTGAAGTCACTTTCAAAGCAGCCCAGAGATCCGCATCACTTGACTGTAGCTTTTGACACAATATCAAAGTGTAGCTGACTAGATTTTCAGCAGATACTAGAGCTACAATATACTCTAACTGACATATAGCTGTCAAAAGGACATCGGCCCCTGAAGATGTGTCATTATCATCCCAACACTTGATTTCTTCTAAGAATGAAATGATATGGTTGTACAGCTCCTTCATGACGAGGAAAGCATCATGTCTTTGAACTCATCTGGTTGGGCATAGCTGTTTGAGTTTTTGTTTTCTTAGTTTTTGGTGCTGGGATTTCAATTTTTACCTGGAGAACATTTTGCCTCTTTGGTGTGTTAAAAAAGACCATACTTTTTCAGTAGTGCCAAAACAATTTCTGATAGATCTGACCTCTGCAGCATTTGTAATGGCTAAGTTAAGGCTAATATTCAGTATGCGATGTGTCCACTTATTGGCGGATTTAAAAACAGAATGTAAATTTTTTCTTGAGGGGAGGGGCTGCAACCCCCGCGCCTGGTCCAGTACAAATCTTTCAGAGACACAAGTTAGTGAAGTTTGATAAAACAAAGTTTTTCCTTTTTTGTAAAAAACAGTATGTTTTTATATTAGATTACCTATTTCAAAAGTTTTGTCCGTTTGTATGACCCTACTTCAAACTGAATCAGCTCACTTTTGCAAACGTAACACCGGTCGATTAAGACCGTCTGTATAAAAATTGTGTATTCGGGATGCAATGAAGTCGAAGAAGGCCGTTTTTACCTCGTCCTGATTTCTCAGCGGTAGGACCTACTGGTGAGAAAGTTATCGAAGTCTTGAAAAGATGGTAGTCGGTTGGCGAGAGGTCTGGGGAGTATGGTGGATGAGGGAGAATTTCGACGTTCAATTTGTTTTATTTCCGGACGGTGATTTGTGAAACGTGCAGACAGGCGTTGTCCTGGACCAGAATCGGTCCTCTTCTGTTGACCAGTGCCGGCTGCTGATTATAAGTTATCGGTACATTTCGTCGATTTCCTCACAATGGGACTCTCTGTGACAGTTTGACCGGTTGCAAATCATTTATAACATTTGTAAAGATGGCATTGTGCATATTGTCATTCTTGACTTTAAAAGTTGTTCATTGATCAAAATGAGTTTGAGATTTCTGAATCGTTATGAATTCTGATTTAGTATTGATTCTAGTACCTGATATTCAGGTTCATACATTGTTTTGGGCGATTATGAAATCGTATTGAGTTTGTTTTAGCAATATTTAAATTCAAATTCTTTGCACTAAAGCAGTCACTAACACTTGTGTTGTATTACACTCATCATATAAGAACTCCGAAATAAGAAATGAAATATCATTTGCAAGTGGATTGAACTGGTTCATCCAAATCATTCAAATACAACGTGAAGAGAATGGGGCCTCAAATTGAACCTTGAGGGCCTTCTATGGTGATCTGTTGCTTTAAAGTGATTACATCCTCGATAGCAACATACTGGTTTCTTGAACTGAAGAAACTACAAAGCCGCTGATGAGGAATGTCCCTTATTTTATACCTGTCCAACTTATCCATCAAAATAACTTGATTGATACACTCGATTGCCTTGGTAAGATCACAAAAGATCCCTACAAGACACTGGCCCTCATCAATCAAATCAACAATGTTTTCATTATCAGATTGTACTGATATCATCGATTTCTTGGGTGAAAAATCTATGATTTTCAAAATGATGGTCAAGAAATGGATATTCAAATATTCTTGTAGGAAGGCATAGTAATGGATCTATAGTTCTTCACAAATCCATTTTATGAAAGGCTACTACTTTGTTAATTTTAAGCATATATGGTAATGATACTGTTATAGATAAGTTAACCAATTGCATAATAGCGTTTATGAGAAAGACTTAATATTTTCTTAGGAGAAACATAGGAACCCATTCAGGTACAGAAGATATTTTATTTTGGAGGTTTGCCTGTTAAATAATTCTGCCCCTGAATACGGATCGAGAAATAGTGAGTTCATGTATATTTCAAATAATCATTGAAATTTGAGTGACTCATTGGTATTCTGGAAACAATATCATGTGGTATTGAAAATAATTATTAAAAGGTCAAACTGGTTCATAATTTTATCAATTGTCCTGATCTGCTAAACTAGCTAAACTTCAAGATACTGCTATTTGCCAGCAGAATTAATTTTACATTCTATAACTAATTCTATTCTATAAATAATATTCTCACGAAATCACCAATCCTTATAATGTGTGATAATTTTAATAGTATTTGTAACCTTTGTGATTTTTTTTTGTGAGGGCTTGGAGCAATCAACCATGTTATGCAAAATGTGTAATTTTTTGAAATGAAGGGGTTATATTTTTCAGGAGTGATTAATTTTTTGAGAAAGAAAGTTTTTGGCTTTCTACTACTCCATCT